TATCAAATGAGCATCAGAGAACCAAAACAAGACTGAATGTCACAGTCTTCCATGAAACAACTCTTATCTCAATGAAAAGGTATATGCTCTTCAAAGCTACTAGAAGCGGGGGAGGGGTGTGGCGCCTGCCTGGCTCAGCCATAGAGCATGCAACTCCTGACCTGGGGTTGTAAATTCAAGCCCCATGTTGGGTGCAGAGATTATTTAAAAATACAATCTTTAAAAAAAAAAAAAAAAAAAAGTACTAGTCGGGAACTCACCTAAGTAGGGGTAATAAATGCAGAGTACTACTGGAAAATGCCTAAAAGCTTTAATGGTCTCTTAGTACTTACTTACTCTTTTATGCTGTGCTTATTCCCCTGCTGTTGTCAGAACGCGGGAAAGCAATGTCACTATGGAATCACCCTGAAAACAAGAAGGAAGTACTCTGGACTGATTAAGGCCAGCATGACATTCATAGTGGCCAATCTCATTCCAGTTGAGTTAAAGTAATCATTCTCCAGGGGCGCCTGGGTGGCTCAGTTGGTTAAGCAACTGCCTTCGGCTCAGGTCATGATCCTGGAGTCCCGGGATCGAGTCCCGCATCGGGCTCTCTGCTCAGCAGGGAGTCTGCTTCTCCCTCTGACCCTCCCCCCTCTCATGTGCTCTCTCTCTCTCATTCTCTCTCTCAAATAAATAAAAAAATCTTAAAAAAAAAAAAAAGTAATCATTCTCCAATATTTGTTCCCTGTCAGCTCAAGTTAGGAACTAAAGTGAGAAAGTATACACACACATACACACACACACACAGAAAAAAAGGCTAACAATACAAACTGCTTGTCACATACCAAATATTTGTAACCTTTCAAAACATATATAACCACAGAGCTTCAATAAGTTGGTATTTACAAGGTAAAATAATTTCAAAACTTACCAGCACCCCAGCCCCAAATTTACCAGCCCACATTGAAACTTCACTGTTCCTGATCTTCTCCTACCCTACCCTCCACTGAGAACGAAATCATCTTGCTATGTAATGCTAAGAGAAAAAAAAATATTCTGATGGCTTCCTAATTTTATATATATATAGTAATTATATATATATACATATATAGTATTTGACTTATTATGTGTCTTTGTTCAAGCACATAAATGCCAAGTTAATCACTTAAAAATGGGTTATATAATTCTATGCTGTCTACCCATATTTTCCAGTCTGAACCTACTCACCTTTGTAGTCTCCTTTTAAAAAAGTTGTTTTGAGTAGAGTTGACACAATGTTACATTAGTCTCAGGTGTATAACATAATGATTCAACTTCTCTATACCTTATGCCATGCTGTAGTCTCCTTCTTAAATAATCAATTTTATCAATTCTCATTCCTGGTTCCACACAAGTACTTGGATTCTAATACTTCTATATCTATCTATATTTCACTATATTCTAACATATAAGACCCAGCTTGAGGGGCACCTGAGTGGCTCAGCTGGTTAAGTGTCTGACTCTTGATCTCAGCTCAGGTCTTGATCTCAGGGTTGTGAGTTCAAGCCCCATGTTAGGCTCCACCATACTTAAAAAAAAAAAAAAGAAAAAAACATGTAGAGAGGTTCACTTGCCCAAGTCTACACAGATTGAGGAACCCACAATCACACCCAGGTTCATCTGTTTCAAGAACCAAAGATATTAACCACTGTTCTATTCCATTCCATATGCTTTTATTCCTCTCTTCATTACATGATTGGGAAAACACAGCATGGACGGACATCCATATGCATAAAAATGAAGAGCTGCAGGCAGAGGGAGAGGGAGAAGCAGGCTCACCACCGAGCAGGGAGCCCGATGCAGGGCTTGGTCATGACCTGAGCCGAAGGCAGACACTTAACTAGCTGAGCCACCCAGGCACCCCCTGGGTATTTACTTTAAAGAAGGGAAAACTATGTTCACATAAAAACCTATACATAAATGTTTACAGCAATTTCATTCATAATTGCCCCAAACTGGAAAGAACCCAAATGTCCTCCACTGGGTGGATGCCCAAGCAAACTGAGGTGCATCCAAACAGTGATACTACTCAGCAACAAAAAGGAAAACACTACTGATATACACAATAGCTTGGCTGAATCTCAAAGGCATGATGCTGAATGAAAGAAGCCAGTTTCAAAAGATTACATACTACATGATTCCATTTATACGACATCCTCAGAAAGACCAAACTGTAGTGACTGAAAGAAATCAGTGATTGCCAGGGTTTGGGGTAGGGAAGAGGTTACTGTAAAGGGATAGCATGAGGGAGTTTTGTGGGGTAGTCAAGCTGTTCTATATCCTGACTGTAGTAGTTGGTTACAAAAATCTATACACATCCCATGTGGCACCTGGCTGGCTCAGTTGGTATAGCATGCAACTCTTGATCTCAAGGTTATGAGTTTGAGCCCCACACTGGGTGTAGAGATCACTTAAAAATAAAACATTAAAAGAAAAATCTAAACACATCCCCAAAAAGTCCATTTTAGTGCATGATAATTTTTAAGGTAAAATAAAAGATTCTTTAATTCTTCTGCAGATAACTGGTTAACTAAATAGGGGCTAAAAAAAGTTACAACCTTACCTCTTGTTATATATCAAAATACATTCCAAAGAAACTAAAAAGTTAAATGTAAATTATGAAGTAATACTGATCCTCTTAATATACATGAAGCTCTGACAAATAAAAAAATGAACACTTTCAGAGAAAAATGCACCAAGACATGAAGAAACAAGAATTAAATATATGAAAAAGTCTTATCTCACCAATAATCAAATAAATGAACAATCAAGCAATGAGCTAATATTTTTTGTCAACTGGATTACAAAAACACAAAACCTTAAAAGAATAATAACACCAATAATGGCAAGGGTGGGAAAAGGAACCAAAAGAAAACTACAGTTTGACATGTTAAGTGTTATTACATTTCCTGAAGGTAATTTGGAATATATGTCAAAACCCTCAACTCACACACACATACTCTTTTTCCATTTTCAGGAATTTACTAAGAAACTAATTAGACTAGTACAGAAAAATGTATGCAGAAGAAGAGTCATAACATCATTATTTATAATAATGAAAAACAAATAATTTAAAAAGATAAAATAAATTATTATCCTATGACGTGGGAAACAAAGACAAAAGAAAAATTAAATTTCCTTACTACTTACAGCCCATTGATAAATCCTTCAAACAGGCAGAGTGACATTCCTTTAGGAACTCAGCTACCTTGATTTGATACTTTGCTAAGGGCAAAAGGCAATCTTAGCTTAACATTATCCCAACCCCCCAGGATCCTGTAAGTCTACTTTAACACATAAAATTCCTTTAGAAACTTCCTTTATCTCTATCCCCCAAGATATATGTTAGCAATCATCCCCCAAGCATACAACCCATACTTCTGAAGAGTCTCATGGCTAGGGTTTTACTAGACAGTAATAAATGGCCTTTTCCTAATAACAGCTAGCCTTTGAGATCCTGGAAACCTTGCTCCCAAAATTCCTTAAGAGACTTACGCTATCCCTAGCCCCCTCCCAACTTGAAGGTATATAATCAGCCACTCCTCATGACCCCGGTACAGCTCTTTCTGCCCATGGGTCCTGTCCCCATGCTGTAATAAAACCACCCTTTTGCACCCAAGATGTCTCAAGAATACTTTCTTGGGGGGCGCCTGGGTGGCTCAGCTGGTTAAGCGACTGCCTTCGGTTCAGATCATGATCCTGGAGTCCCGGGATCAAGTCCCGCATAGAGCTCCCTGCTCAGCAGGGAGTCTGCTTCTCCCTCTGACCCTCCTCCCTCTCATGCTCTCTGTCTCTCATTCTCTCTCTCTCTCTCTCTCAAATCAATAAATAAAATCTAAAAAAAAATTTAAAGAAAGAGTACTTTCTTGGCTATTGGCTCCAAACCCTACCACTTCAAACCACATCCTTATATATCCATATAATAGAATACTAAGCAGTCATTAAAAATCAAGTTATCTGAACTGTTAATTGAAATAAGATTATGTTATTTTAGTCATGACTGCTATAACTTCCTTCCTGTCTCCAAAGCAAAAGGAAAGATTTCTGTTCAATGACAAAACAATGATCATGGAATAATGCAAAATTTCAAAGAAAGCAGGATATAAAAGCATATATAAGCCAAATTCTATTTTTTTAAACATCTGTGCATGTGCCACAATATTCTCAGTGGTGAGATTATGGGTGACTTCTTATTCATCTTTTCTTTATTTTCTAAACTTTCTATAAAACACATATTAAAAGAAGAAAAAAACAAAAAACCATATATTCTGTTCATTAATTTTTTTAAATCAATGTTTCTTTAAATCGCCCAAAATTATATCCAAAAGAAGTTTTCAAACTTGTTTTCTAAGGGGTTCCTGGGTGGCTCAGTTGGTTAGGCATCTGACTTCAGCTTAGGATATGATCTCAGGCTCCTGGGATCGAGCCCCACATCGGGCTCCCTGCTCAACAGAGTCTGCTTCTCCCTCTCCCTCTGCCCCTCCCCATGCTCATGCTCTCTTTCTCACTCTCAAATAAATAAATCTTTAAAAAACAAACAAACAAAAAAAACTTGTTTTCTAATCTAGATTATCTGCTGTTATCCTGGTCACAAGCATTTCACTGTTACATAAGAATGAGAATTTCTTCTAGTTACTAATCCCAAATAAGCCATTACCATCCAGGGCAGAAGATCTACAGATAATGGATTCTTATTAACATTGCCACCCACAAGGTGCAGAACAGTATGTATATTAGGATAATACTTTTATGTCTTAAAATTTTTAAAGAATATTTCAGTAATATATAGAGGCTTATGTGCCAATATGTCTATACTTCTTTTTTCAGTTTAGAATCATAAGAAAGCATCAGAAATGGTTACCTTTTTTGGTGGGAGAAGAAATGTATATCTTTCTACTGTTTGAATTATGAACCACCATTTTTGTACTTTTTCTTTACTTTTTAACTTTTTGTTTTGTTTTGTTTTGTTTGCTGCTTACCATGGAGCACTTCTCCAGTACTTCCTCCTGGAACTTCAGGAATCGCTCCTGAACCTCAGCTTCATTGAGGAAAAAGGCAAGGAAGTGAGTGAAGGGTTGCTTTCTTCTAAAAGTGAGCAAAAGAACATCAATCCGAGTTCGAGCTGAAATTACACCACTTCGATGCTGGCCAGTGATTACTGCAAGCAAAAAAAAAAGGAGGGGAGGGATGTTTAACACAACCATCCAGTGTTGTAAGGTAAGTGGCCTTAATACTATCATCGCTGCAGAGCTCGAACAGTCCTGAATGAGTACATAATGTCTGAACAAGGGACAGTACCAAGGGTAAGAAAATTACTAATGAATTCAATCTAAGCAGAATGAGGTTTAAAAACAGAATATCCTTGGGGTGCCTGGGTGGCTTAGTCAGTAATCGTCCAACCCTAGATTTACGCTCAGATCTCAGGATTGTAAGATCGAGCCCTGCTTGTCGGGCTCGTGCTGGGCATGGAGCCTGCTTAAGATTCTCTCTTCCTCTCCCTCTGCTGCTCCCCCTGTTTGTGCATGCGCGCTCTCTCTCCCTCTTTCTGTCAAATAAATAAACAAATCAATCTTTAAAAAAAAAAAAAAAGACCACCTCATGAAGTAGAAAAATGAGTTAAAAAAAGCTATATAGCTTCATAGCAAACTCTCATACCTTGCAGGTGGGAATGTAAAATGGTGCAGCAGCTATGGAAAAGTATGGCTGTTCCTTAAAAAGTTACAAGGAGAACTACTATATGTAAAAAGTTACAACGAGAACTACCATCTGACCAGCAATTCCACTCCTAGATAGAAATCCAAAATAAGTAAAAACAGGGCGCCTGGGTGGCTCAGTCTTTAAGCGTCTGCCTTCGGCTCCGGTCCTGATCCCAAGGTCCTGGGATCAAGTCCCACATTGGGCTCCCTGCTCAGCAGGAAGCCTGCTTCTCCCTCTCCCACTCCCCCTGCTTGTGTTCCTGCTCTCGCTATCTCTGTCAAAAAAAAAAAAAAAAAAACAAGTAAAAGCAGGTATTCAAGGGGTGCCTGGTGGCTCAGTCAGTAAGATCACACTCTTGATTTGGGGGTCATGAGTTTGAGCCCCACATTAGGGGTAGAGTTTACTTCAAAGAAAAAAAAGAATAGGTTTTAAAAAATAATATGAAATAGGGCGCCTGGGTGGCTCAGTCATTAAGCGTCTGCCTTCGGCTCAGGTCATGATCCCAGGGACCTGGGATTGAACCCCGCATCAGGCTCCCTGCTCGGCGGGGAGCCTGCTTCTCCCTCTCCCACTCCCCCTGCTTGTGTTCCTCTCTCGCTGTGTCTGTCTCTCTGTCAAGTAAACAAATACAATCTTTAAAAAAAAAAATAATAATAATAATATGAAATACAAGAAAAAATCCTGAAAAATTTTTTTAAAAAACAAAACCCAAGTGTCCAAAAAAAAACTCGTACACGAAGGTTCAGAGCAGCTCTAGTCGCAATACCAAAAGGTGGAAACAACGCAGGTGTCCAACAGATAAATGGATAAACAAAACGTCCCATCTCCATACAATGGAATAGTATTCAGCCCCCCCCAAAAAGAGAATGAAGTACAGATACATGCAAAAATATCACTGAATCTTGAAAACATCACACTCAGTGGACGACACCAGATAGAAAATGCCACTATATGCTTCCATCTAAGAAAGTAGCCAGAACAGGCAAATGCAGAGGGACAGAAAGCAGATTAGTGATAGGCAAGGACTGGAGGTACGGAGGAATGGGACTGGGAAGTGACTGCTTAATAGGTATGAGGTATCCTCCCTTTTGGGAGGATAAAAATGTTCTGAAACTAGATAGTGGTGATGATTACACAACACTGTAAATGTACTAAATGCCACTCAATTCAACACTTTAAAATGGTCCAAATGGGAGGTCCAAGGCTGGCTCAGTCAGTAGAGCATGTCACTCTTGATCTGGAGGTCATGAGTTTGAGCCTCACATTAGGTGTAGAGTTCACATAAAGAAAAAATTGTCAAACTGGTAAACTTTATGTTGTGTATATATTAACTACACACAAAAAAAGTATGAACACTACATCACATAGAAATTCAAGCAACAATAAAAAGTTAAGAGCAATAAATGGAACTTTCTGTCATGTCAATTTTTTTTTTTTTTTTTTAATTTTATTTATTTATTTGACGGAGAGAGACACAGCGAGAGCAGGAACACAAGCCGGGGGAGTGGGAGAAGGAGAAGCAGGCTTCCCGCGGAGCGGGGAGCCTGATGCGGGGCTCGATCCCAGGACCCTGGGATCATGACCTGAGCCGAAGGCAGACGCTTAACGACTGAGCCACCCAGGCGCCCCTCTGTCATGTCAATTTTACCTCAATTTAAAAGAAGACTATGGCAGGACGCCTGGGTGTTTCAGTCGTTAAGCGTCTGCCTTCAGCTCAGGTCATGATCCCAGGGTCCTGGGATCGAGCCCCGCATCAGGCTCCCTGCTCGGTGGGAGCCCTGCTTCTACCCTTCCCACTCCCCCTGCTTATGTTCCTGCTCTCTCTATCTCTGTCTGTCAAATAAATAAACTCTTCAAAAAAAAAGAAGACGACTGTGGCAGCACTAGAGATTGACTACAGTGAAAAACTAAAGGCGAGTCTACTACAATATATATAATCCTATAATATATGTATGAAAACAGAAAATTAAAGTAAAATGCTTATCTATACATTATATGGGTGGATACCAAATGTCCATGTTTTGGCATTAATTTGGCCTTCTCTGATCTGGGCTATGCCTTTATGTATAAATGAAAGGGGGGACGGCACAAAGCATAGCCCACTGTCTGCAAAGAAACAAAATCATTTAGGGATTACGCAATCTCAACGTAAGCAGAGATTAAACCTCTAGGTCATAGAACTGACAGGGCTTGGTTCAAAACAGCAACTAAGGAAAGGTGCAAAAGATATGAACAACGAACAAAACTGGCATTTCAACAGACCATTTATTAAAACTGTGAAAGACAGACTTATGAATATGATACAAAATATTGAAGTATTAACTGTAATAGTAGCAAAATCAGCTCTGTGCTTTAAAGACCACAAAGTTTGTCCTTCCACGCAACTACAGAGATTAAATAATTCTATTTATTTATCCTAATACTCTCCATTAAAGCACATGAAATTTTCTGTAAGAACAACCTTTCTATTCCTCAATAAGAATGAAAGTATCACACCCATTTTACTACAAGGAAACAAGACAGACATTTCTAGGAAAAGAAGTAGATTCTGAATGAATGGATTAACAGAAAGCCTGAGAACAATTTGCCTAAGTCAAAAATTGATAAAAGTGATAGCTGAAAAATGTAAGTAGACATACGGTGTTCTCTAATGGCATCATTTATATTATCAGACAGAATACTCAGAGAATCCAAAAGACTCAATGCTCAGTGAAGGGAAGTATCCATAACAGGTACTCAAATACTGTGCTAGAGAAATGCTGATAAAGGAGGGTTTGAAGGCAAACTGGGACAAAATTAAAGGAAAGTAAAAATTATCTCTGCCAAAGACCAAAAATTTGGTGAAAAACTAAATGGAAAAGGAGCAGAAAGGAAGGAAGCTTAAAACTCATGTTTGGGGCGCCTGGGTGGCTCAGTCGTTAAGCGTCTGCCTTCGGCTCAGGTCATGATCCCAGGGTCCTGGGATCGAGCCCCACATTGGGCTCCCTACTCAGCGGGAAGCCTGCTTCTCCCTCTCCTACTCCCCCTGCTTGTGTTCCCTCTCTTGCTGTGTCTCTCTCTGTCAAATAAATAAAATCTTAAAAAAAACCCTCAAGTTTAACTTGCCTTGTTTGTCTCCCCATCCTACTGTTTAAAAAAAAAAAAAAAATACAGGTGCACCTGGGTGGCCCAGTCGGTTAAGCGACTGCCTTAGGCTCAGGTCATGATCCCAGGGTCCTGGGATCAAGTCCCACATCGGGCTCCCTGCTCGGCAGGAAGCCTGCTTCTCCCTCTCCCACTCCCCCTGCTTGTGTTCCCTCTCTCATTATCTCTCTCTCTCTGTCAATTAAATAAATAAATAAAATCTTTAAAAAAAAACTCATGTTTTATGTTTTATTTCTGTAAAAGTCTGGTACAAAATGCTTAATCTATTCTTTTTCATTAAGAAGGTGGTTTCATCTCTGTAACACAGTGAACCGAAAAGGGCCCTCACTGAAAGGTCCTCAGCCTCATTTCCAGAAAAGATTCAAAGTTAATCAATTAATGACTAAAGAGCAAATACAATAGGGTTAGAAATATTCTACAAACACTAATATCTGAGAAGACCAGAATTTGCATGGCAAGTGGTCTAGGGACTGTAACAAGGGACAGATAGGAAAAAGAGAATTAAAGGCATTGACATTAAACTTTTAAAAACCAATTCTCTAACTATAATAACAATATCATTTTGAAAGCACCTTCCAATATCCCATTACCTGAGACTTCAAAACAGACTAGATGACCAGATCCTTGTTGAGAGGACAAATTAAAGCCTACTACATCATTTCCTTCTTTAGTAGCTCTAACTTGGGAGAAGCAAAAGAAAATGAATAAATGACAGCAAATACCACAACCTGTCTTAGTCTCACATTACAACTCAATTCACTCTAACCAATAAATTTGATTTTGCTGTACTTTACTTCCCTACAAGACCAATAGGCCCATTTATCCTCTTGTTTTTCAATTAAATTAGTTCCACTGAATTCTTACTTTTAACGATATGACTGACACACTGGGTTTCACACTGAAATATTTGTATTTTCTAAGTCAAAATGGAATCTTTACAACCCACCTACCCTCTTCTGGATATGTTTTGGAATGACTCCGGCATCTTAAAATGGCTAAGATCTCCACATTTATAGCATGTTATAATTTTACTGCAATAAAAATTATTATAGGGGCGCCTGGGTGACTCAGTCATTGGGCGTCTGCCTTCGGCTCGGGTCGTGATCCCAGGGTCCTGGGATCGAGCCCGCATCGGGCTCCCTGCTCAGCGGGAAGCCTGCTTCTCCCTCTCCCACTCGCCCCTGCTTGTGTTCCCTCTCGATCAAATAAATAAAATCTTAAAAAAAAATTTAAAATAAATAAAATAAAAATTATTATAGTTACTATATGAATAGAAAAAATGAGGAATATATTCAACTGTTAATAGTGATCATGTCTGCAGTTCATATTACAAGACTTCCCTTTATACTTCACATATAATTTATACTTCACATATAATTTCTGTAAGCTTTTGTTTTTTTTGAAAGCATGTATTAATTTATAATCAGGAAAAAACTAGGTAATGAAATAAACTTTACTGCAATTATAAAATTACTTCAATATTTGTAGCTTGAACTTTTTTTTTTTTTTAAAGATTTTATTTATTCATTTGAGAGAGAGACAAAGACAGAGAGCAGAAGCAGAGGGAGAGGGAGAAGCAGACTCTCCACTGAGCCGGAAGCCCGACGTGTGGCTCAATCCCAGGACCCTGAGATCATGACCTGAGCCAAAGGCAGACGCTTAACTGACTAAGCCACCCAAGTGCCCCGTAGCTTGAACTTTAAAACTTAAGGAAAGACCTGGGTTTTTCTATCTGTAATTCTAAAGAGCTGAATATTTTATTGAAATTCCTTCAAAAATGTCATTAAAGTTCTCATATTAGTGTCTGCTGATGCTACCAAAGGGCTGGGGAAAACTCTAGCATTTGCTGCCCAACACAGGAGTCCACATGCAACCAGTTAAATGAAAAGTTAAATGAATTAGAAAGAAATGGGATTAAAAGTTCAGTTCCCCAGTCACACTAGCCACATTTCCAGTACTCACGATCACACGTGCTAGTGACTCCCGCACTGGACAGTGGAGGTAGAGAACATTCCCATCATCACAGAAAGTCCTTTTGGGCAGTACTGCTCTACACTCACCTGCATCGTATCTGTTGTGATGACTGTTCTTACAGAGCACAAAATGAGAAGAACACTAGTAATTTTTTTCCCCTAAAACTTAATAAAACCTATGGGTGTTTATAAAAAATGTATTATTGGAGGCTGCTGCACTTACTTGACTTTGAAAGAGTCCTATTGTTTTAGAATGAGTTTCCTTTTTTTTTTGTTAAATTTTGTCCCTACAGTGCCCTTCACTCAAAGCCATCTTACAACACAAGCCTGTGCCCTGGGTTCACAATGATGCTTGGTACAGATCCTTTCTGATTTGATTTATACTGAACTATTTTTCCTTGCTTGAGCAGTTACTTGATTCAGGTTATTTTAATTGTTACTTTTATAATATCCTTCCCAGCCTACAAAGCAAGGTAAAAACAAGAGAACCCTTCTGGAAAGGGCTGAACTTTATTGCAAATCTGCTGACCTCACTGGTTTTCTCTAATTCTAACTTGAAACAATTCACAAACTCCATTTCAAGTTGGTAAAGCATGAAATTATTCTCCTAATACACAACAAATCTGGTAGCTTTATAACATCAGTACACAGTGAAGTAAAAAAGTGAAGGCCCAGATACTCAGTCAAAATAAGGTTGTATAACTACATCTTTCTTCATTTGGGAGACTGATACTGATATATCATAAAAAGGCCAACTGCTGCAGAACCCCACAAAGAATACAGTCACTATTCAATCCTACCCAGGGACACTAAAAAAAAAAAAAAAAAAAAAGAATACAATCACTAAATACCTCCATTGGGTCACACTAGTCCATACTCATGCAAAAGTGATTGCAAATATAACTTATATATACCAAGTCTCACCAATTTCTCCTTCTTGTCCAGGCTTAGGAATGCTAATAGATGTTTTGGTTTCCACTTCTAGTTTCTTCCTAGTGTCCCCTCTTTTGCCAACTATATGCCTATAATATAAAGAAAAATTAATTAATGGAAGGACATTAAGTCAAATGTACCAGAATAAAGAATTCCATCATGTTTAAATCATATGTGGCCACAGATACTCCCTTACAGAAAAGTGCTTCAGTAAGGCTTAATATTTGTAGAGAAATTACAAGTTGTATAGCTTTATAGAATGTGCTGCATTGCACTCATGGGCAAAATGACACCCTACAGTCAATTTAATGAATAAACAGAAACAGAAACCATGCCATGCCCAACACCTGTTTGCTCTTCAATATTAGATTCAAAACATGGGTCTGCAGTTCATTGAAAAGAAAGCTGGCATTGTCTCAAAAGGCACTTCTAGCAACCAGTGGGTCTACAGTTTGGGGAAAATGTCCTTTAGAGAGCAAATTAACTATATTAGGAGTTCATCGTAAAAGAATTATCCTTGATTAGTAAAATAAGGGTAAAAAGCTTAGCAAAGAGACGAATCCATCATTTAGGAGAGATTATCCAGAATAGCTTCAAAAGCAAAAAGAGAAAACAGGTAACCCTCAAGCTGAATTCAGCAATACATGTTTTATTCAGGAGATTTCACCTAAAAATTGGGAAATTTCACCTAAAAATATAGATTTCCAGGTTCTTTGGAAAAATTAGAAGATCTGACAACCCATGGCAATAATGGGCTGGAGCTTACTCTCGTCCCTAAAAATGGAACATGAGCTTATCACAATCCCTATCACTCCCTACTCCGTTTCATCTACTCTGCTTCAACCATCTAGTGACTCCTTTACATTAATTGTCTGGGCCTCCTGGAATAAATAATTCTGACAATCCAAGGTTATCTTCTGGAACCCACAGTAATAACATGTGTTAAAGTAAATGAGACTACTGGATCCCAAGGGAAAAGTTTCAGAGTGTAGAAAGCACTAAAGACTCAAAGACAGGATTATAAAGAGAAAAAAACTCCCCATCACCAACAGTATTTTGGCTTCTATGATTTCAATTACAGTGCCCAAGAATATGGGTGACTAGGTCTAAAACTGTGCATTTGTTTCTACCTAGAATAACCAGCCCAATTATTTCCATTAAGATCTACTGTAGTAAGCCAGGTTAAAACAAAAAAAACCCAGAAAACAGAAAACAAGATGTTTAGAAGAGGACTGAAATGCCACAATTTCCCTGTAGTTTTTCTCTGTGTTGCACTCTGTGTTGGCACCCACTTTGTCAGGCTTTTGTCTTTCCAGGCCTTATCAATAAGGGCTACTTTCACCCAGGCTACTGTTGGTTAGCATGTGGCTAATAGAGAAGCCTCTTACAAAAAGCAGCTGGCTTAGAGTGCCCCGCTGGCTCAGTCCATAGAGCATGCAACTCTTGATCTGGGGGTTGTGAACTCAAGCCCCACATTGGAGTGTAGAGATTACTTAAAAATAAGATGTTTAAAAACACACACAAACAAAAGTAGCTGGCTCAATGTGTTATTAACAGTCTAGGCATTTTTTTTTTTTAAGATTTTATTTATTTGAGAGAGAGAATGAGAGAGAGAGAGAGAGCACATGAGAGGGGGGAGGGTCAGAGGGAGAAGCAGACTCCCTGCTGAGCAGAGAGCCCGATGCGGGACTCGATCCCGGGACTCCAGGATCATGACCTGAGCCGAAGGCAGTCGCTCAACCAACTGACCCACCCAGGCGCCCCCAGTCTAAGCATTTTAAAAAGGAAGTGGTTGAAGTTAAAGAAGTTTTAGACTCAAGTCTTGGGCAAGTCATCTAACCACTCTAAACCTATTTCTTCACTTTCAAAAATGGAGTGAATAATACCTAAGTATAATAAACTTGTGAGGATTAAACGTGATCATATATAAAAGGGCTTTCCTGTGACTGGCACGTAGCTCAGTACGGTCCATACCATCCTCATTAAGCCCATAATGGCATCCTTCCAATTTAGAGCATGGCCGGATTCAAAAGAGGTTTACATGGGGAGTCTAAAACATTCACTACAATAATAAGAGACACACCGTGAAAAGGTGACTCCTTTATTAAACATATAAGTAGAAATTCCTACCAGATCGAGTAGTTCTCAATCTTGGCTACCCACTTGAATCACCTGGGGGCTTCAAAAACTAATGATGCCTCAGTTCAGCTCCCAGAGATTCTGATTTAATTGGTCTGGGGTGCACCCAAGTATAGGGAGTTTTAAAAGCTCCCCAGGTGATTCTAATGTGCACCTGATGTTGAGAACTAATATATTACATCTAGTCCATGGACAGGTGTTACAACCATTAGGATTTTATCATAAATTAGTTTGGTCAAGTAATTTCTTCCTTGATCCAAATGAACCTATGGAAATGATTAATAAGAAAGAAATCTTCCTGGGGCACCGGGGGGGTTCAGTCGTTAAGTGTCTGCCTTCGGCTCAGGTCATGATCCCAGGGTCCTGGGATCGAGCCCCACATCCAGCTCCCTGCTCTGCAGGAAGCCTGCTTCTCCCTCTCCCACTCCCCCTGCTTGTGTTCCCTCTCTCGCTGTCTCTCTCTGTCAAATAAATAAATAAAATCTTTAAAAAAAAAAAAAAGAAAGAAATCTTCCTAGTAAATACTGTCTATTAATTACAATTGGACAGAACCAATACCTAATCTAACATGCAAGTCATCTAGAATACAATGAATACTTAAAATATATAGAATTCAGAAGATCATCAAGTTAGAATCAGACATCTAATGAATTTTTACACACCTTAGTGGTGGCAAATATACACATTAAGAAAATGGTTACACAGATTTCATCAGGAAATGGAACCATGACTTTCTAAAATCTTGTTTCTTGGAAGAAAATGTCACTGGAACCTTAAAGGAAAATGAGCTGTCAGATTTAGCATTTGGTTTCCCATCTGGCCACATTCCAAGAGAAGAATTTCATCCTTAATAGGTGTTTCAGAATATTTTCAAGATTGGTGAAAATAAAATGATTTGCTTCGTGGAGCTTAAAGGTATATGATTTCATATTTGCAGATCTCCTTTCACAGAGGAGCTTGAACACGTAATTAACCTTGTACAACACAGAAAAACAATTTACACAATTCCTAGACCAGCCTATCTCCAGAGGTGTAAACCTAAAAGAAGCCAGTTAGCCACATAAGCTATGTTTGTTTTTTTTTAAAGATTTTATTATTCATTTGAGACAGAGCGATACAGAAAGAGAGCATGATCGGGGGAGAGGCAGAGAGAGAGGAAGACTTGGGGCCTGACCCCAGGACCTGGAGATCATGACCTGAGCCGAAGGCAGACGATAAGCTAACCATGTTAGTGGTGAGACAGAATGTGGGCAAGCAAGCAAGCACCGACTTGAAGTGAGCAAAAAGTTTCCAAGCAAATTCATAATGACAACCTTGGAGAAAGCATACCAGTCTTTGACAAACATTGGAGATTAATGGAACACATTCCTGCCTTCCAGAAGTCTCCCATCTTGTGAAGAAGACATCCAATAGTACGCAAATAAGTGTAAATACATGGCTGAAAAATTCTACAAAGGAAAGGTACAGGATGTTATGAAAACATATGGTAGTCAGTGTGGTTGGAAGGGATGATGATGTCAAAGCAAGGCTCTCTAAGGAAGAAGAATATAACTAGGTAAGGAAGAGAGATTATAAGGCAAAGGAAACAGCATATGCCAAAGCTCTATGGCAGGAAGGAACAAAGCACACTTCAGGAACTGAAGAAAACTAGCTAGGCTTAAGTGCAAAACCAGAAAAAGAGTGATATGAGTTATGACTGAAAAATACAGGGCTGCCTAAGTCACATTCAAGATTCCATCATTCCAATGGAACAGAATTCCATCTTCAATGGAAGGATGTTGACAGATTTAAGCAGAGGTAGTAATCACATTTGCCTTTTAGAAAGATCATCCTACCCTCAATGTGAAGAACTGATTGGGAGGAGAACAATAATCAATGTGGACAGCCTAGTAAGGAGGCTATATGAAGTAATCCACAGAAGATGCAGCAGGGTGCTGGTCTTTCAGCAAAGAATAAGACCAATGGTAGATTCAAAAGATATTTAAGAGGCAAAATCAACAGGACTTGGTGATACATTTGGAATGGTGAAATTGATCCATAATCAGTCCTTAGAAATTCTAGGACATAAAACACTAAATTGTTTTGTCATTAGTAATTAAGCACTGCAGTAAGTATGGAAAAGAGTCAGCTTCCTGCTGAGTTTCCTGGAAGTGTGTCCCATGAAGCTGGGGGATGGGGGGGCCTCACTCACTTGTAGAGCAAACTGGGGGCCTTCACGGTACACCGGAAACCTTGCTGGGTCTGCACCACCTCGTAGGCATCACAGGGCTCCTCTGCACACTCCACAAAGCCTGCAGAGAAACCATAACACCTCCTCACAGCTGCTGCTCTGTGGACAACAGTCTTACAGCCCAACACTTTATATTGCAGAACACTGCTCTGACAGTCCTTCCAACCTGCTCTTAGAAGAAAATTAAAAAACACATGACTAGGGGTGCCTGGGTGGCTCAGTCATTAGGTGTCTGCCTTCGGCTCAGGTCATGATCCCAGGGTCCTGGGTTCGAGCCCCGCATCGGGCTCCCTGCTCAGCCGGAAGCCTGCTTCTCCCTCTCCCACTCCCCCTGCTTGTGTTCCCTCTCTCGCTGTGTCTCTGTCAAATAAATAAATAAAATCTTAAAAATAAAAAAAAAGAACCTTGGAAAGATAGTATATACATACCACTATTTAACTGTTTTCTCCCAAAACGCTAAGACACAATAAAAATTTTTTTCTATTTTTTTATAAAAATGTAATTCACATAACATCCTCTTACAGTGTGCAAGTAAGCAGTTTTTAGTATTAAGACAAAAATTACTTCAGTGAATGAGACAGGAATGGTAGCGGGAGAACTTACTGCATTCCACCAGGCGAAGAGACAGGAGGGTCAAGTAAAGAAGGTCAAGTCCCCAAGGCTGAAGGGAAACAATGGGGAAAACCAGAAGGAAGACAAAACCCAAGGCTTAGGGCATGATGGAAGAACTTATAAACCAAAAGGAAAAGGAAGCAGAGAACATGAAAGGCCCTATTTATGCCTTAAACCCAAGCCCAAGTTATTTGGCTTGAAAATATTCATAATCCATCCCCACTGTTTAGCTTACTTCTTAAAACTATCCCTATGTAATAATAAAGTTATGTCAGTTGTATATTTGGAACTGCCTATATGAGTGCAAAGAAGAGACAAATAACAACATTAACAGTATTAACGGTTAATATTTTGGGGCACTGAACAAAATACATATTTCATTTATTTCAACAATTTATATATATTATTTCACAACTTTACAGACAAAGGAACTTAATTTTATCACAGAATATTCATGGTTAACATTGTTTACTAAAATTACCCTTTGTTACATTTAAGCCTCTGCACAGAGATGAAACATGATTTAGGAAGTGCAAATGAGAATGCCTCATCAAACTGAAAATCACCAGTCCCCTTAGAGGTCAACACAAATGGAGCTAGATAGAGGCCAAACATCTCAAATTTCAGTGCTCACACAGAAACACTATGAAACAAAACAAAGCAATGCTTCCATAATGCGAGAGAACATTGTACTGGTATCTGACCAAAGAGCAACTAGGATTACCTTGATAGAAGTCTTCATCTTCTTCTTCATGTTGATAAGTCTGTTCTTGGACGGGATTTTTTCTGTAAATCCGTCCACCAATTCTTACAAGCTGTGGGCGCAGAACTTCCATACCTTCTCCAAGCAATATTCTAGTGAAATCCTGAAAAATAAATGATCACCTTACCTTGTTTTAATTAGAAATGAAAACCGTATCTCTATTTTATGGATCATTATGTAATTGGGACATCAGGTCACAGCACATCCTAAACAAAAGCAGCACTGTTTCCATTGGATTTCCCTATCTGCAAGCTGTTTTAAGTCAATTGCTGTATTTTCCACAACAGCACTCCACTCCTGGCTCACTCTAGACAGTAATTTGTTTTTGTTTTCAAAGATTTTATTTTATTTTTTTTAAAGATTTTATTTATTTATTTGATAGAGAGAGACAGCGAGAGAGGGAACACAAGCAGGGGGAGTGGGAGAGGGAGAAGCAGGCTTCCTGCGGAGCAGAGAGCCCAATGTGGGGCTCGATCCCAGGACCCTGGGATCAGGACCTGAGCCAAAGGCAGACGCCCAACAACTGAGCCACCCAGGCGCCCCACAAAGGTTTTGTTTTTAAGTAATCTCTACAACCAACATCGGGTTCGAACTCACAACCCCGAGATGAAGAGTTGCCTGCTCCACTGACTGAGCCAGCCAGGTGCCCCTAGACAGTAATTTGTAACTATTTCAGCACTCTAAGAAAAGGTGATTAAAAGATACTCAGCCCTCTCTATACAGCCTGTCCATGACTTGAAAGCATAGATGTCTCTTTATTATTTTAACCTCAAGGTTAAACCTTCTGTGTTTATCTAACCATTTGCTAAGGGTCTCACCCTTTTTATCCAGCATGATAATTCAGAGGATTAGGAATGTTTAGCACACTTATCCTTGGGAGGGGGAGGGGGGAAATAACCCCTAAGTACTTTTAGAGGTGCTAGAAATATATACCCCAAAATTAGATCCAGCTGCCCATCAAAACAGTTAAAATATGACATAACCAAATGGTTCTTCAAACCAACACACTGCTGAGAGGAGGAATCCATTTCTATAGGCTACTACTCAAAAATGTACATCATGGGATGCCTGGGTGGCTCAAGTCATGATCCCAGAGTCCTGGGATGGAGTCTGGCATCCGGCTCCTTGCTCAGCGGGGAGCCGGCTTCTCCCTCTGCTGCTGCTCCCCCTGCTTGCGCTCTCTCTCTCTCAAATAAATGAATAAAATCTAAAAAAAAAAAAAAAAAAAATGTACATCATTCATTGAGAAGCCAAGCTTCTAGTCACAACTTAATGAATCGAGAATTAAGGAAACAAAGATTCCTTATGGGCTAACTGTGGTTAAGTTCAACCAATCTTCTTACTACATAGGTTACATAGTCTTGGAAGCCCAAAATTAAGAGTTCCTCCCAAAAACCTGACCAATCCTTATTAATACACTAAGGCCCAATCCAATCCTCAGCAAGTAAGTCACTTTAATTTGCAATTTGCTTACAGAACCAAGAGGAGATTTTGCATTGTGAGAAATGACAACATAGAAAGTAACAGACTTGAATGATGCCGGGCATAATTAGTAACAATTTAATGACATTACACTCTAGTGGCCTATTCCCCCAGGACCTCACAAAAGAAAAAAGGCCCTTCACAAAAGTAGACTTTAATGTTTAGGTCGGACCCTCAGAGACAGCGAACTTCACCTGCCGAATTTCCCATACGACACCGGGCTATGAGGCTGTCTGAAAGAAGGGGGAATAACCAATTTAAACCCGCTTCGTGGTAGTCTGGGGAGAGAGGAGAGCAGAAAGCCTGCAATGTCGTGGGGAAGGTGAAGCCCTGAATCATAAAAGCAAGCAAAAAAGCGAGCACACCAAGTCGAGTTAAGAGAGAACTCCGGGGCGGAAAGCAAACCGCGGTAAGCCCAGGTGAGCGCAGGACCCGGAAGTCCTCTCTCCGAGCGCGTCTTCCGCCCCTCTCCGCCCTGGCCACGCCCACCAGCGCACGGGCGCCCGCACGCCGCCGCCGCCGCAGGTTCCCTCCGCGCGGGCATGCGCACGCCGCCGTCCTCGTCGTTGTAAACGCGGCCGTTCTGGCTGGCCCTGGGGGCGGGGCCGTGGGGGAACGTGCCAAATCCGCTGAGGTAAGTGGCCGAGGGCTCAGGGACCCCCGGGAGCTTAGTGGAAGGGAGTTGATCCCTGGAAACCTACCTGCAGGGACTAGTAAAATGGAGAAGATAGGAGGAGAAACTGGAGCCTGCTGCGGAGGGAGTGTAAGAGGAAATTTGCTCAGGCCGCGCAGAACTGGGTGCGCATGCGGGCCGAGGGCTGGCGCCTGCGCAGTACGGTGGCGCCAAGCGTCGCCCCCTTGGGTCCAAGCGGGGAAAGGGGCGGAAGCGGGCCTTGGAGTTAGTTTGGAAACCTCTGGCGTTCTGCCCCTTCCCTTTCCAGCCCCTTTCTAGCCACCCCACCTGGTTTTAGGTGCCGCTTCCGTTTGGGTGGTAGTCCACCTGTTTAACTGCAACGATTTGTTGATGATGGAATTAAATGATTGCTTGTAATTGCCATTACGCCAGGGTACTTCCTTCAGCGTCTTTTTCATAAGGAGACTTCTAAAGGAAGGATTCTTTTCAAGAAAATAGGAATATATCCGATAAGAAGTAGTGTTTTTGAATACAAGGTCATCCCTGTCGTACATGAAGGAAATGTTTATTCATCCTGTCACTGTGGAGAGAGCCATGCTGTGTCCCCCAAAGTAGCATTGCTTTCCTATGGGGATCTCAACTGCCAATAGACTCGGCTTCCCTTAGAGGCCCAAACCCCAGACTACTTCACCATGAATATGTATTCATTAAGCAGAATTTAACTGAGCCCGGCAGCCTAGTGTGTGAGAGAGTTGTGTTAATACTGTAAATCTGCAGAATGAGGAAGGAAAAAAAAACCAATAATGGACCAATCCTCATGACACCCCGCTTCTCTGTCCCACGCATATAACCTTTGCTGACCCACTCACTAGCCCTGTGTTCGATCATTTGTTCTGCATTCAGAAAACGTTCTAATCCAGATTCTGTGCTAGGCCTCAAGGGTAGAAAGACAACTTGTTCCCCCTTTCCTAGATCAAAGAATTCTCCCTAAACTCGTGAACCTGAAAATGAAAGTGACAAGTGCATTAATGGAGGGCATCTTCTCTCTTCCTGAGCAGATCCTTTTCCCTTTAGGAGCTTGCTGGTTCTGTCAAATGGAGAGAATTAAAACTTTTCCCCTGAGTGTGTTGGGACATACTATGGATGAAAAACTGGGATCTGCGTAGGGGAAAAAAAGATTGAGGAGTAAATATCCATTACTAATTTTGGATAGCTGATATTATTGTTTACTATGCCTGTAACTATTCTAAATGCTTTAGTTATATTAACCTTTGTGATACCTTTATGAGGGAGATACTGTTATTATCCCCATTTTAGAGATGAGGCAACAGAGGAACAGAGAGGTTAAGTGATTTGTCCAGAGTCATACAGCAAGCTAAATAGCAAGACTAGGACATGAACCCAGACCAAGAAACTTCAGAATCTGAACTCTAACCACTATGCTGTTTTACCTCTCACATGGCACATGATATGCCCACAAAACCATTGCTTGAAGAATGTGACAGCATGTATGCTAACGTTTCTATAGCTCAGTTTTGTTTGGTCATCTATAACATGAGGGATTGGATTAGATGTCCTTTAAGGAATTTTGTGGTTCCTGTGAAATGCTTAATTCATTTAGCAAACATTTATTTAAATCAACAGCTATTTAGTATAGGCCAAGCATTATGTTTGGTTCTCATGATCAGAATGCCTGCCTTCATAAAGCAGTTACAAAGCAGGGTTTATTGTTAGTTTCACTCTACCTCCTGTTACCATCTGCTGATAGCATGCAAAATTCAACCTAAATCTTTAAATCTAGAAATTACGGAAGTGTATTATTCTACCTCAGCAGTAAACTGCTTATTTATGTAAAAGTAGCTTTGTGCTAATTATGCACTCCAGTTTCCAACCCTGGCTGTTTTGTGTATTGAATGATAGTAGTTCTGAGTTTGAAAGAAAATGGGATGAAAGGGAATTCCTTTGATTATACCCAGTTGAGAAGTCACACTGTGTCTAGCCTTTGAAGCTGTCCTCACTCTGGCAGTCCCTAGGGAGCTCTGCTGAGCAACTGATTTCAAAATATAAAGTATACCTTGCATTTGCAACTGAATAGAGCATTTATCAAGGTGTAGGAAAAAGATTAGAGTTTTAAGTCTTAGGTGAGCTATATAAACAGTTCACAGTATGTTCTGCTCTGAACTGATGGGAATTAAGACTGAGTACCTGTCCAAAAGATGGCTAAATCATCTGTATACTTTGAATCCCAACAAGAATCCACTTAGAAATTTAGACCAGGTCCATTACTGCTTAAGTTCTGTTTAAAAGAGCATTTAGGAACCTGTCAAGGTATATTTTAAGCTGGTGTTGCCCAGAGGATTGGCTATAAACCTGCCTTGAAAAGTTGTTTCTATGAATATGAATACAATTTGGAAGTTATAGAGCTCAGAGAAAAAAGAAGAGGTGATCTAATAGCAAGATTGACAGTGTCCTTAATCAATTTCTATTTTTAAATAGACTGAAATTCTAATTATAGCGGTTGCCTTATTGTTCCCATATCCCACTTCAGTTTTAATCATATTACTTATGGACATATAATGAAATCGGAAACTAAACTCTGCTTCCCCAACAGGCTTAAATCATCATCACAAAATTAAGGAAACGGAACAGCCGGCATTTCAGAAATGCACAGTATATCATTTTTCTTGCTAGGAAACTGGATTATGTATATATAGGATTTGTATCTGCATAGCATTCCCTCATTTTTTCTATTTTTTCAAAAATAAGTTCCAACTTTTGTAACATGTCTTTATTTTGCAACTAGCAAAAGAAGAAAAAAAACCAGCTAAAATTCTCGGTGGCCATTAAAGAGGGAAATTCATTTTTTAAATCCTTTTAAAGTCATTTCTTTTTTTTTTTTTTTTTTTAAAGATTTTATTTATTTGACAGAGAGAGCACAAGCAGAGGGAGAGAGAGGGAGAAGCAGGCTCCCTGCTGAGCAAGGAGCCCGATGTGGACTCGATCCCAGGACCCTGGGATCATGACCTGGGCTGAAGGCAGCCGCTTAACCGACTGAGCCACCCAGGTGTCCCTCTTTTTTTTTTTTAATTGAGCTAAAATTCACATAACATAAAATTAACTATTAGCCATCTTAAAGCATACAATTCAGTATAAAGTCATTTTTTAGTCTAAATATTAGAGTTGTACTATCCAGTACAGTAACCACTAGTCATATGTGGCTATTTCAGTTTCAGTTAATATTAAATAAAATTTAAAATACAGTTCTTCAAGGGCACCTGGCCGGTTCAGTTGGTGGAGCATGTGACTCCTGATCTCGGGGTTGTGAGTTCAAGCCCCCATAGATGTAGAGATTACTTTTAAAAAAATTCTTTTTAATTAAAACACAGTTCTTCAGTCACACTAATAGCCACATGAGGTTAACGGCTACCATATTGGACAGCACAGAAATAGAATGTTAGAACATTCCCATCATGGCAGAAAGTTCTGTTAGCACAGTGCTAGACCATTCTTTTTAGAAAACATAAACATCTTAAAATATTATGTGTGTAATATAAGCTTCAGTGGCAAAGGTAGTATTTTTGTTTTGAACTTGTAAGGAATCGTGTATTCAGTACAGATCTTCTCATTTGCATTTGGGCTTTTCGATTTTTTGATATGACATAGGGCTAAACACAGCTGCTATATTCGTAATAAACCATGAATTCGAAGATCATTTCATGAGCCATTTTCTTCTGGTTTGGAGATGCCACCAAGTGATCAATTTGGGTATTACACTTGGATGAAAAAGTTTTTAAAACATTTTTAACGAAAGGACAAACATGTATTTCCTAACCAATTCCCTTTCCTTGGGAACAGAACACAGTGTTATTCTGGAATTTTATTTGGAAAATTTTATAAGTGAATTTTTTGGTGTGGCTTTGTCAGGATATAGCCAAGACAAACTGCCCTATGAGGCATGTTGTTTTATCCTCATATAATTTATTTCCTCAGTCACATTGCTGCCTTGGCACTGCCGTATCACCCCTTCATAACCCATAAATCACCCACAGCCGATCCCAAGCAATATAAACAGTTTGCTAATGATAGGAAGTAGTGTTTTAAGTAGAAAAACAGAATAAACATATTTTCACTTAAAATCCTGAGAAACATTTTTGTCTGAGGCACCAGTAAAAGATTGTGGGAACAGAGAGGGTAGAAAAAGGGGGAGCTGATTCTTTACTAAACTGTGTGCTGGCTTTTATGGCAGCTAGAATGAAATGTTGTCAATCTCACTTCCATAAACTTGCCAATTGCTGTTTTTTTTTCTCTATAGTGAAGTGAGAATTCTGCTAGAGAGGAAATGGCTGCCTCTTCATCATCCTCCTCAGCTGGTGGGGTCAGTGGAAGTTCTGTCACTGGATCTGGTTTCAGTGTCTCAGACCTTGCCCCACCACGGAAAGCCCTTTTCACCTACCCCAAAGGAGCTGGAGAGATGTTAGAAGGTGATCTCATGCTGCTTTTTGCTGAATAATTAGATTCTGACCTGCAATGAATATTAATTGTAAAGAAGCTATTAAGTGGATTAGAGATGAGTTTGCCCTGATTTCAGCTCCACATTTCATCTCTTGTCCCCATTTCAAAATATTATGTTCAAAACACAAATCTTTCTCCAGAATCAAAATTTTGGAGCTGAAAAAGGCTCTGGAAATCAAGGAAGTCATCTAGACTTACTTAGACCCAGAAAAGTTAAAGTGATTTGACCACGTTAAAGACAAAGTCAGCACTAGAACCAGGAATTCTCTTGACCTCCTGCTCCAGTTTGCTTTATCCTGGCACCAGTCTGCCTCCCTATGATGAGTAGGTTTGATGTATTTTTTCTAATGTAATTAATCTACTGATAGATTAACCTCATCAAATAGGTTCTAAGAGGAAATAAAAACTATTATACCACTCTTGTATGTGAAGATGGCTCCCCTGGCCCACTGCAGGACAGTGCTATGTGGTTTTTCTAGCACTGGAGCTGGATTTCCATCAGATCATCCACCATCTTACTCAGCACACATTTGCAAACTGGCTGGCCAAGATCAGAGCACAGGCTGTAAGCATGACACTACATTGATACCCAAAATTCATTGGATACATGTCGCTTTAGGAGCTAGACCAGTAAACTCTTAATAGGGAGCATAAAAGTCAGCCGAAGAGCTTATTTAAAATGCACATTTCTGGCCCATCTTAGAGATG